GCAGGAGAACCTGGCGACGATCCAAGACTATTGGCAGTGCTCCCATCGCATGTCGTATCAGAAGCTTTGGAACAGGCGACCTTAGCAGACGGCAGCCCACCATCTGCAGTTCAAGCTTCCCATGTGGGATTGATATACAACCTCGCAAAGAGGGTGCAGCACACCAAAGGTGGAGGGGATTGGAATGCATGGTTGGAGGCCTCACCATTTGGACCCCAACGCGAGGAGATGCAGGCGGCGGCGAAGGCACCTTCAAGCCCCACTTCAACTACGGAGCGCAAAATGAAGATGACGCAGATCCTCGACCAAGGAGACGATGTAGAATTTGTCGTACAAGGAGAAGATGCAAGGGCGGCCTGGTACCAACAATATGTGGCTACTGTTGGTGGTTGGCCCCCGGAAGAGGAGGACCCGACGCTGGAACAGCTCAGCGCATTACATCGACGAATCTCCATCCAGGACACGGCACCCTACGTGGACTTCGCAATCTATGTGCCCTTTGGTCATCGAGCTTTGAAGGCATCTCGATTCAGGACCTATGTTCTGACTTCCACCGGCTACACAACGAAAGAACTACCTGGCCCGGCGACGTTTACCCAGTGGAGGACGTGCTTCAGGTTGTTCCGGACCTCACTCATCATGTTGGATGCAGCTGGATTGGCGGCGTTGCACGGGTACGAGATGGCAGCGGAAAGGCTTTCACGAACCTATCCAACAGCCTGGCACTTGATCTATGCAGCGGACGAAGTTGCTCGTTCTTCCCAGTCCAACAGGTTACGCTCCAAGATCATGATGGACATCAGGGCGGGGAAGGCACCTCCGGAAGGCTACGATCAAAACAGGCCTTGGGATCACATTTACAACATGCTTGCCAAGGACGAGAACTTCTGGAGGACGCAGGTGCACACTCCTGCATTGGCCTGGATAGCTTCGGGGAGTCAACAATCGCGCCCGTCCTGGAGCCCGGCATCGGCACGAAGGTTCAGAATCCCCCCAATCGGAGAAAGAAGAGGAAATATGGAGGGAAAGGAGGAGGGAAAGGAAGCTCAGGTCAGAAATGCTTCTCCTGGAACAACGGAAACTCGCCATGTGGGGAGCTTGCGCCGGGGCAGCAATGCGCAGCAAAGGTGAAGCGCCTTCACAGGTGCACAAAGTGCGATTCACCGCGATACCCGAGCAGGAACTGCCCGAAGAAGGAGTAAGAGTCCACCTTGGTGAAGAAGGTTCCAATGCAGGCGGCACTACAAAGAAAGAAGCCACAGACGACAAGGGCTCATCACCTTCATACACGTACACCTATGACACGGAGGACGAAGAGCCAGAGGGCGACGAAGGTAAAGACGATCCTGGTGAAGAAGGCATCCCATTGCAGTCAGACACATTGGAAGAATACTACACGAAGAGGGTATTCATCTTTATCCACCACTATGCAGGACCTGAGGACCCGCTGACCACAGCAATGCGGAATGAAGCCCTGGCCCAAGGTATAAGGCTGAAAGCCTTCAGTGTGGAGAAGTCCAACGGCACTGGAGACTTGTTGGACGACGAGCCATACTCTAAACATTTGAGGTGGGCAAGAAGGGGCTATGTCGATGCCTATCATGCGGGTTTCCCTTGCGCGACATTCTCGAGGCTCAGATGGAGGAGAGCCCCAAATCAGCCGGGCCCAGTCAGATCGAAATCAGAGCCTTCTTGCGGCATGAAGGCCAATACTCAGTCAGAACAGGCTGAATGCGACAGGGGCACTATTATGGCTTGCAGGGCGATCGACATGGCGGTGGCTGTATGCTCGAAGAAGCAGATCGCCAAGGTACCTCCAGTGGCCACGCTCGAGAACCCGCTTCTGAGTGACAGAGAAGGCCATCTATCAGCATGGGAGTTGGGGGAGATGGAAAAGTTCAGGGAAACGACTCCCCACAATGTGGTGCAGTTCAACACCTGCGGCCACGAGAACGGCTTACCAGTGGGTAAGAAACATTTCAAACCCCAAATGTTTGCAGGATCCTTGCGTGGTCTGAAAACGCTGAAGAGGGAGTGCCAGTGTGGCTATACCCGGGCAACCACGACGTCATCGTGGGGTCCGAGAAATCGAAGGCATCAGCTACATACCCGACGGAGCTATGCAAGGAGTATGCAAAGCTGGCCATTGCTCAGCTGAAGCTCATGGGCAAAGAAGAGTTCTTGAAGTCCAGAATGGCTTCATTGCAGGACACCATCGACGCGTCGAAGGCAAAAGTAACTTACAGAGAAGAAATCTTTGGGCCAGCAAAAGAGGAAAGGACATCAGGTTCATCCAGAGAAACCAAAAGAGAAAGATCAAGATCAGCTCGGAGACCGTCAAGGATGCCATCTATGAGCCCACCTACAAGAAGGGAGTACAAAGCTGCCACAATGAACGCGGCACCCAAGAGTCCAGCCAAGCGCACAAATCAAGACCGCACTGGTCACCGACAATGTTGAAGATGCCAAGATCGAATTAGATCGATACCGACAAGAAGGATACCTTGTGGACGTTCCCAAGAAGGTCGTCGAAGGAGAGATGGGGCACGGCACCATAAGCCGATTGGGCCTAATCATCAAACAAAAGCCCGAAGGAGTCAAGAGAAGGATCATCCTCGACTTGAGAAGGTCCGGAGGAAACAGAAAAGCGCAACTCCCGGAGAAGCTGGTGCTGCCAAGGCCAAGAGACGCTGTAGCCATGATCAGGGACAACTACAATCAGCGTCGAAGCCACCAAGCCAACGAAGGATATTCCAGAGAACTCGTCGTCATCGACATCAGCGACGCCTTCATGTCGTTGGCAGTGAAAGAGTGCGAGTTACCGCACACGTTGGCACCAGAGGTCCAGTCGGACGACTTCGTACTGTTCTGCGCCCTTCTCTTCGGCTACAAGACAGCACCATTGCTGTGGTCACGATTGGCTTGCATGGCCCGTTTCCTTCAGGCCCTATTCCAAGGCGGGGAAGCCCAACATCAAGTTTATTTGGACGACGGACTTTGGGTATTACAAGGAACCCTCAAAGAACGAAACTCCATGCTGGCCTTGATTCTCACGACGATTTGCGGTTTGGGCTTCAAGGTCTCGCTGAAGAAAGGTCTGAGGTCCACACAAGTGCAATGGGTGGGAGTCCGCTTCACGATTACCGAGGACTCCGTCATATTGGCGCTCCCAGACCAGTTTGTCAAGGACCTCATGGAGCTCCTCACGTCATGGGAAAACAAGGGCATGGCGCCCACCAAGGAACTCCGCCAAGCTGCGGGAAAGCTCAGCTGGCTATCAGGCATTTTGCCAAGGGCACGATGGACGGCGGCTGTATTTTACAGAGTTTTGCATGAGCGACTAAATGCAGTCGCCTCCGGATTGGAGGATTCAAGACGAGCCGTTCGTGATGACGCTCACAACAAGGACGGCCTATTCATTGTCAAACAGCTCGGGCTCGAACAGGCCAGATCATGGCTGGTGAAATTCTTAGGGGTCGCACTTGAAGCCCCTGTCAAGAAGTTCAAGCTTGACATCGCCAAGTACCCGAAGGCCACTATCATGATGGATGCCAGCCCACTTGGAGTAGGGGCAGTGCTTCTGGTAAACGGGCGCATCGTCAAGGGCTACGCGTCGAAGGTGACTCATAGGGATGCCCGCCTCCTGCAGTTCGAAGACCACTGGGAATTGTCATCGTCCCAGGGCATAGTGGAAACATTTTCTGTACTCCTTGCACTGAAACACTGGGCCAAGGAGTTGTCTTCTTGCCACGTGGAGCTGCAGGTCCAGTCGGACAGCATCGTAGCCTTGGCGACACTGCACAAGCTCGCAAGTGGCGATCCAATGCGAGAAGATTGGTATCGAAGGTTTAAGGTGCAGCCACATTATGACATTCCGAGCGCTGCAAATGTAGTGGCACTCCAATACATCCGGAAGGGCTGGGCTGTCAGCCAAGTAGGATATCTAGGGCGTTGGAAGAGCAACGTGATCTTGGAGTACGCCCAAGAGGCCTTGGAATCCTTGGCAGTCAACGCTTCCAATCACTTCAAAGGGAGCCCCACCGAAGCGAAAGCGGTGACGAAGGCGCCTTCACTGGCCGACATGCTAGCATTGGGCAAGCAGTTAGACGGCAAGGTGGACAAGGAACTCGTCAACCGTCTCCAGACCGAGCTGGATGCCTTGCGGCAAGATTCAGAAGGAGCAAATTCCGCTCTATCAGAAGCCATAAAGAACATGGAGGGCAAGATGGACACATCCACAAAGTACCTGCCACCACTAGTCCAATCAGCGAGGCACCAGGTGGTTCACAGGAACAACAAAACATTGGTATTTTCACCATCTGCAACTTGGAAGACAGCGTGCGGATGGTATTATTACTTGGCCAACTACCAGTTCGCCGAAGGGGACCCATCTATGATCACCTGTGCGAAGTGCCTGGGGTCTGCGCATAGCAAAGAGGTGGACAAGGCAGACAAATGACCTGTCTTTTGTGCAGCTGCTTCAGGTGACCAGAATGGAAACCAATGCAGCTGAAATTTGAAGCTGATGCACAATTCCGACCACTCTGACAAAGAGAGCTGTTGGGGAGGGTTGGATGGCTTTCAAATTTTCATGTCACTTGCAGTTGTCGTAAAAGAAAAGCTGCAAGCTTTTCTGCATGACAAAGAGCTGGTGGCATGGGCCGGCCATTTTGGCTCAAGCTGCCTTGCCACCAGCAACATAACTTTCATACTTTTCCACACCCAGCCCACCCATTTTATTTTATTCTGGTTGAGGTGGACAAGGCAGACAAATGACCTGTCCTTTGTGCAGCTGCTTCAGGTGACCAGAATGGAAACCAATGCAGCTGAAATTTGAAGCTGATGCACAATTCCGACCACTCTGACAAAGAGAGCTGTTGGGGAGGGTTGGATGGCTTTCAAGTTTTCACGTCACTTGCAGTTGTCAAATTTTATTATCCCCGAGGCTTTCGTTTCGATAACATTTCTGGGTCCGTTGGTGCCCCCGTCACTGTGGTGAGGCAGATGCTACAGCTGGACTTTGATGCTGGGCGATCCTGAAGATCTTCCGAAAGCCGAAGCGGTGGAGTGCGGTCTGCTCAACATGACGGTAGGGGCCAGGTGCGCCACGCTTGTGAGTGGTCTTCGGATGTTAAGAGATGGGGCTGAAATTTGGGCCAGGAAAATTGGGAGCTTCAAGTTTATATGTTGTGTCCCGCAAACGGCACCCCATGGATGGCTAGAAACACTTAGAATATCTAGAATCTCACTTCAAAAAAAGACGATTCCGATTCCCGGAGAATTCATTACTGAGTTATGCCAGGTGTGAAGTGTCCGTGGCGCACCCGGAGCAACTTAGCTCCGTGGTTGTGGAGCTTCGAGGTCTCGAAAGGCGCCTGCAGGGCCACGGGAATTGCAGGTTTTATCAGGATCTGAGGGTTTGATGTTTTGATTTCAAATTGAACAATGAATGAGTGGTTTGGACATGCAGCTAGCCCGTTTTGCCTGTTCACTTGCCAATATTTGGTCAGCACATGTCATTCAGCGGGCCATGGTGCAGGTTGGCCCAAAAAGCTTTCTACACAAACAAATCCACAGACTGAGCTGACACCAGTTGCACACCCAGTGCTTGTGCCATGGCAAGCATGGCGATGTCTGTGATCATAGGCATGGCCTGTCACTTGATGGGCTCGGCGGAGCAGTGGAGGGCGGTCGGCTTAGGCCCAAAGGTGTCTGACATCTCCAACGGCACGCATGTACATGCGTCGTACAGTTTCGAGAATCTCCATAGGCGTAAGCCTTTGACAATTGCAATGTCTCTCTTTGGGCATAGCATGGGCTTCGCTGCCACACTGGGCGGTGATGTTTTGGCAGTTTTGGAGCTGGAAAGATACCACAAGATCCGGTATTTTGATTTGCGCGTTTTGACAGGGATGAATGAAAACTTTCGAAACATCGGGCATTTGTGTGAGTGGGTCATGGATCACAGGCAGCAAAGCTGCATTGAGAGATTGACGAGCATGGAGCCAGAGCCTGACGAAGATGATGCGTCCTTTGAGATTCGGGCCATGAAGCAGAGAGAAAAGGTGTTGTATGAAAATGCAATGGAAAGATGCTTACTAGTGACCAGCATATTTTCTTCGTTGATCTTTGGTGTTATGGGTTGGGAAACGTGCCAGAATGGTGGGAAGGTAAATAGGCTCTGCGATCAATGGTGGGCAGAGTGGACAAACCCACTACTTGCCCTACTGGCCCTACTTGAATCAACAATGGGATGCATCGAAGAACATAGAATAACCATGTATGTAAGTAGGTGAACTCATTTTTTTGATAGTTTTTCGAGCTAGCAGTAGCAGACGAGGATACATGAAACCAGCGTTGCATCAGCTGTGTCAGCTGGCCCACCTAAAACTGCGCGTCTTGGGCGATCGACGGGCACAGGATGCGGACCCTGCAGGATCGTGTGAAATCCAGTACGATATCGCGGTCAGTCCAGCTCACTGCCTTAGTAGCAGCCAGTACGGTGCGATGCTGGTTCAGCTAATTAAGCCCTATGTCCAGGCATCTGAGTGGCTATTGGTAGATCATCACCATGCTCATGCGGCAATGGGTTGGTTGGATTCCCCATTCTACAGGCAGAAAGGTTATAGCTCCTTGATTCTCAGCTATGATGGCGGCGGAGGTGATGGCAACCTGCGGCTGTTTCTGGGTAAATCAGGAGATCATAATCTGAAAGCCTTGGGGCCTGGACAGGCGTGGCATTCCTATGGCAATGTTTACGAGATGGCTTCCTCCTTGGTTAGGGATTTGGCGTGGGGGACACCCTATGGTTCCAAGCCACCCTGCCCCTATGGCAAGAAGACTTCGTGCCAAATGGCCTTGGCGGGGTCTTTCATGGCCTTTGCCGCCATTGGCAACGTGCGCGAAGAGTGGCGGCCCGGGGCCCAACTCTACCTCAGCAGAGGTGCAGACCAGGGATGGTGGTTGGGGACGGATTTCAAGTCTGGCCAGTTTTTCCCGAGAGCGTTTGAGCGCAGGGTTCTTCCAACAGTGGGGGTCTGTAAAACATCTTCTCATCTTCACATCTCATCTTCACATCTCATCTTCACATCCTCTCATCTTCACATCTGCTCATCTTCACATCCTCTCATCTTCACATCCTCTCATCTTCACATCTGCTCATCTTCACACCTTCCCATCTTCACATCTGCTCATCTTCCCACCTTCCCATCTTCACATCTTCTCATCTTCACATCTGCTCATCTTCACATCTGCTCATCTTCACACCTTCCCATCTTCACATCTGCTCATCTTCACACCTTCCCATCTTCACATCTTCTCATCTTCACATCTGCTCATCTTCACATCTGCTCATCTTCACCCCTTCCCATCTTCACATCCTCTCATCTTCACATCTGCTCATCTTCACATCCTCTCATCTTCACATCCTCTCATCTTCACATCTGCTCATCTTCACACCTTCCCATCTTCACATCCGCTCATCTTCACACCTTCCCATCTCCACATCTTCTCATCTTCACATCTGCTCATCTTCACATCTGCTCATCTTCACATCTGCTCATCTTCACATCTGCTCATCTTCACACCTTCCCATCTTCACATCTTCTCAGCTTCACATCTGCTCATCTTCACATCTGCTCATCTTCACATCTGCTCATCTTCACATCTGCTCATCTTCACATCTTCTTATCTTCACACCTGCTCACCTTCTCTCTCATGCCTTCTTTTTATCTTTCTCTCTTAAGGCCGAGGGTGGTGCCGGCGGCGAGTCACGAAACGTCAACCCTTTCGCACGAAATGAGGGTCGACCGGCAAAAACTGAGGTAAAATTGCGAGTTTACTTGTGCCGGAGCAACCCTTTCGCACGAAATGAGGGTCGATCGGCAAAAACTGAGGAAAAATTGCGATTTGACTTGTCCCCGAGCAACCCTTTCGCACGAAATGAGGGTCGATCGTTAAAAACTGAGGAAAAATTGCGAGTTTACTTGTCTTTCGCACGAAATGAGGGTCGATCGGCAAAAACTGTGGAAAAATTGCGATTTTACTTGTGCCGGAGCAACCCTTTCGCACGAAATGAGGGTCGATCGTCAAAAACTGAGGTAAAATTGCGATTTTACTTGTGCCGGAGCAACCCTTTCGCACGAAATGAGGGTCGATCGTCAAAAACTGAGGTAAAATTGCGATTTTTCCTGTGCCGGAGCAACCCTTTCGCACGAAATGAGGGTCGATCGGCAAAAACTGAGGTAAAATTGCGATTTTTCCTGTGCCGGAGCAACCCTTTCGCACGAAATGAGGGTCGATCGACAAAAACTGAGGTAAAATTGCGATGTTTCGTGTGCTGGAGTAACTCTTTCGCACGCAAAGAGGTTTGTGTGTACGAGCGTTTCTGTGTAAAGATGTTTGTGTGTAAAAATGTTTGTGTGTACAAGTGCATCTGTCTAAAAGTGTTGTGTGTAAAACCTTCTGTGTGTAGAAGTCTTTGTGTGTAAACGGGTTTGTGTGTACGAGTGTTTCTGTGTAAAGATGTTGGTGTGTACAAGTGATTGTATGTAAAATTGCACCTGTTTAAACGTGATTATGTGTAAAAGCTTCTGTGTGTAAAAGTGTTTGTGTGTAAACGTGTTTGTGTGTCGGAGTGTTTCGGTGTAAAGATGTTTGAGTGTAAAAGTGTTTGTGTGTACAAGTGCATCTGTGTAAAAACCATTGTGTGTCAAAACTTTTGTGCGTAAAAGTGTCTCTGTGTAAAAGGGTTTGTGTGTAAGAGTGTTTCTGTGTAAAGATGTTTGTGTGTAAAAGTGTTTGCGTGTAGAAGTGCACCTGTGTAGAAGTGTCTGCGTGTAAAAGCGCCTGTGTGTAAAAGTGTTTGTGTGTAACAGTGTTTCTGTGTAAAAGTGCCTGTGTGTAAAAGCGTCTATGTGTAAAAGCTTCTGTGTGTACAAGCGTTTGTGTGTAAAAGCAGCTCCTGTGTGTAAAAGGGTCTGTGTGTAAAAGTGTCTGTGTGTAAACGTGTCTGTGTGTAAAAGTGTCTGTGTAGAAGCGTCTGTGTGTAAAAGCTTCTGTATGTAAAAGCTTCTGTATGTAAAAGCTTCTGTCTGTAAAAGCTTCTGTGTGTAAAAGCTTCTGTGGGTAAAAGCTTTGTGTGTAAAAGCGTCTGTGTAAAAGCGTCTCTGTGTAAAAGTGTTTGCGATGCAAACTATTGTCTTGCACTTCTCACTATTTTGTCTTGATACTCCTCTTCTCGACTGCCTATAACACAGCTTTCATATACCGTTTCTAAAATTGCATCTCCATACTAACAAGAGAAGACCCTGCTCCTCTACGCTCTCGGGCCATCCGTCGTCTAGTTCTTTGATTCCTTTCTCCTTAATCCTGCAATCACGGTGCTCTGTGACCCTTGAGGCCTGTGGAATGAGAAGCTCTGGCCATCTCCCTTTGGTGGCGAGTGTACGCTCCACTGTTTTCTCAACGAGTCCAGTGTTGATGGGGGCGATCCTGACTGGTGGTATCGATACGTTACCTCCGGGCAGCATGTTGGGGGGTGTTTGGACCATGCCTACACTCGCAGAGGTGGAAATTCGGGCATGGGATGAACCCCTTGGCTCTTGAACTCTTGACTGTGTGTGGCAGTGATAGTCCGTGATAGCAGGTGTTTAGGTGGGTCTGAACGTGAGCGGGGGATCAAGGGGGTTCAAGTCCAGCCTTGAGGTGCAAGCTATTCAGGATGGACCAGATATTACTTTGCATGTGACAACTCTGACTCGGTGGAGCAGTCCCAGCAAATGGATCGTGACTTTGCAGCCACCATCCAGGATGAGTTTGACCAAGAGATCTTGACTTTGGTCCGCACCAAGCTGGATGTAGCTGAGGTGGTTCCCAACTCCTTAGTCATCACCGGTGGCTCTGCCATGAACGTCAAGACCAACACGGCCTTGGCTCGGGGCTTGAATCTACCCACCCACGTGCCACCAGCGCCAGGAGATGCTGGGATCCCCCTGGGGGCTGCGTGGCTAATGCACCCGCCACCTGCAGATCAGCGGGTGGGTCTGCAGGGGGCAGGGGTCCAATTCACAGGGGCGCCCTTGACGGATAACAAGGGACAGCTCCTGACACCGTCAGACCTTGAGACTTGGAACGCACAGGTGACTGCATTTTTCCAAATGCGTAGCGAACTATGCCTGTTCAACTTGGGGATCTGGGGATCTGCGGTTGGACTGTGTTCGCTGGGTTTCGCCTAGCTCGTAATGCGTAGCCAGGTTCGCGGGCCTAGTGAGTTTTCTTGAAGTGGCACCAGCCGATTGGGAGAGGCTCATTATATCAATAAATCTTGGAAAGGTGCGGGGAGATATATTCAAGATTAGCTAGCTGCTTCATCAACCCCCTCCAGTGTGCGTTGAGCCTTTATTTGTTGTAGTATGTACCTGTGGGCTGTAGGCTCCAAGATGTCAATGTGTTTTTCCCCCGCTTTGGTGGTTTCAATTATGTCCAGGGAAATTATGCGCCTCCAAAGAGTTGAATGGTGAAACTGAAACTGCGAAACATATACACGCGTAGATTCAGATACCTACATGCACATACCTCCGCACACACACACACACGCACACATGCACGTATATCATACATACGCACGTATGTACTACGGACAACAGTAAGAAAGTTCAGCTGGCTTTTTCTCCATCCACCCAGGAGGATTTGGCACAGCGTTATGCTGCCACACGTATTCAAAGCATGGGCAGCTTTGAGCTGCTAGCGGGTTTGTTGATCCGGAGCGAGTCCATTGTGGCGGTGGCACGTGGGGGTGCGGAGTTTGGCCCAAGGGCCCTTGGACATCGGTCTTTCCTGGCAGCTGCCCATAGGGGAGAGCTGAAAGAGAGGTTGAAGCTTGGCTATTCCAGAGGCATAAATTTGTGTGATTTGGTTTCGCCCCATACATTGCAAGCTGGGGCAATGATTTTGACAGTAGTAGTAGTAGTAGCAGTAGTAGCAGTAGTAGCAGTAGTAGCAGTAGTAGCAGTAGTAGTAGTAGTAGCAGTAGTAGTAGCAGCAGCAGCAGTAGTAGTAGTTGTAGTAGTAGTAGTAGCAGTAGTAGCAGTAGCAGTAGAAGCAGTAGTAGTAGTAGCAGTAGTAGTAGTAGCAGTAGTAGTAGCAGCAGTAGTAGTAGTAATATCAGCAGTAGCTATTTTTCCCTTCGCGCTCCCTTTGCGCAGCCGGGGCCGGCGGATTTCGAGGGAAAATGATTGGGGGCGCCATCCATGATTGCCCCAGGAACCGGTTGAAGCACCGAAAATGGTACCGACCCTGCGCTCCCATCGTGGCGCGGGAAGATCTAGAACTGCTATTTGAACCGGGGCCTGACTTGGCCTATGGCATTCCGTACATGAGCTTTGCTCCTCCCCTGCAGAAATGGGTGAAGAAATGGTTGCCAGGGATCACCCACTTGGATGGAACAGCTCGGCCTCAGACCGTGGATAGAGAAGATGATCCATGGATGCATTCCTTGTTGCACGCAGTGCGGCAGGAGATGGCTCAGAAATTTCAGGATTCTGGAACCGAAATTCCTCACAAGGTTGGGGTGTTGATCAACACCTCCCTGAATCCTAAGGGGATGCCAATTGCTTCAGATCCCATGGATATCTTGCAACTCTTCTGCGCCCCCGAGGGTCGTGAACTGGATTTCGTATTGTTAGAAGAGACATGGCTTTTTGAGCGTCGTACTGCCATGTTGGCCGGTCTGTGTGACCACATCAACATCGGACCTGCGGGATCGGATGCCCCAGGCTCGTTCCCCGACGGACTGCCAGTGATCTAGGTTTGAAATGATTTGGACATCTGCCAAATGACTGGCAGGTCACCAAAATGTCCAGCTCCATGGCAAAAGAAGAACAAAATGCTGACGTGATGTGGTGGGAATTCTGATGCCAGGGTTGTACTTGAACTGACATAGTTGCCTAGGCTCCTACAATAAGAGCCGGATCTTCTCCGTTCTTCTTCAGAAGTCCCTGATGTGTTTTGAAAAAATTGGAAGATCGTATGCTGCAAAGATGTTGGAAAGAAACAGAGGGAAGAGGCTAGGAATTAAAAAAGTGGTGATGAGGTGAGGGGCCCTGACATATCCCCCTAGGCATCTGCAATCAGCGTGGACGCATGTGCAAACTGCACACGCATACAGATATGCAGACACAGCAAACATCCACGTTCAGATTATGATCATTTTTGGCTGTGCGCAGCTTCACCTGCGGCCAACTGCATGCTATGTGTCATCAGATGTCATCAGTACAATTCTGCGGGTTAGATGAAACCAGTCAGAAATGTGCTGCATGCGCTTCCAGGACGCCGAACGCATGGAGCACGCCTCACAAGAAACTGGAGAACTGTGAGTTGCTCAAGAGCTCCGCAGCAGCCTTCATGAAAAGCAAAGACTTCAGAAGGGCCTGCAAAGTGTATCTTGTCTTGGGTGGTTTGGCCCTACACTTACACTGTTTTAGAATGTTCTAGATAAAGTTCCTTTGAAAATCCAAGTTTTAAATGCCCGGCAAGGAATTAAAACAAGAGAAAGGTTGAACTGCACCCATGACGGCTGAAAGGTACCAGTTGGTCCAGGACTTCTTGGGATATACCGATGACTGGGCCCAGGACCGAGTTGCAACAAATTTGTTGGGGGTTTACATCGATGTTTCGCTTCAAAATTAAAAAATGTGCTGAACTTGAGCTGCAACTGTTTTAGCCAAAGCTCAGAGTGATGGATGTTCGACGTGTTTTGGAGGAAAATTACAGTTCCATACATCTTCCAGGATGTATCCAAGCGTTTGCGGTAGATTGAGAGCACGCTCTCTGTACGTGGTGGGTAGAGGCCGCATAAGCCTGGTGATTCTTGCAGTTACAGGATGACAAAGATCGAGCTGACATATTGCGGAGAGCCTGTAAGAGCAATGAGGCCGCCCTCCTGTTGGAAACAGGCATCAACCACAAACCACTGCAGATATTTTTCCAGTTTCTGCCCTGAAGCTTCAGTTTTTCTGGTTGGCTCTTGGCTGGGCAGGTCATGGCTTGGATCAAGCTCGAACAATTTCGCAATGCGGCAGACCTATGCACCGTGCCTGGCCTCAAGATCCTCACCAGCCCCAGTGCTGTGCCAAATGCACCATGTCTGATATTCCCAAGGAGCTTCTGGAAGGAGGTGCGGCAGGGTGGCAGCTGTCCCCATACAGTATTGTGATGCCGACAGTCATCTTGGAGTCAATGGCTGATGGTGAAGCCACCACCCGTGAATCCCATCCCACCGGTCGATGCAGGTGGTGGCACCACTGCAAATCCCAAGGACATCAAGGCGATCTTTCGCCGGGGTGTCGCGTGGGAGGCCCAGGCGTTGGAGTGACTCTGCTTTTGTGTTTTGCGACGTGTCGCCCGAGGTACATTGGATTGGGTGAGGCCAAATTGGCCACGAAGGCTTTCCAGGAGATTCTGGCCACTCAACCGCATCAGAGCATTTGTTCACATTCAAGTTGGTCTTTAGCATTCTTCAGCCATTTTCCCGGCGAGCAGCTTGGTAGAGCTTGGTAGAGCTTGGTAGAGCTGGGTAGAGCTTGGTAGAGCTTGGTAGAGCCAGAGAGCGTTTTCACACTTGAGCACAGACACAGGAGTTGCATTGTTCCATTGTTATGGTGGCTTGAGGGCTGATGCTGTAGAACCTTTTTGGCAACGGTGTGCCCTGCTATTATTGCAATGCATCACCATGGGCACTTGCAGGCGGATGATCCAAAGAACAATGAGGCCCGTGCGTACCTGACAAAAGCAAAAGATTTGGAGAAGCTTAGCCAGTGCAAAAAGTCGCAAGGAAGAGTTGCACTTGAACATCCTTTGAGCCGATTCCCTGCCTTTTTCTTTTGCGGATGTGTTGTTCCAAGTTGTTGCCCAGCAAGAGTTGTAAAATCGCTCCGTTTGGGATCATTTCACTCCAACGGCTCAGGAAGGAACAGTCGAAGAACAGCGGAGATCTCTTCAAAGGGATGATGGGTACGGGACACCCAGCATGGATGGGGAGATATGGGGAGCCTAGGCCAACAGGCATGAACCATCACCGATGATCAGGTAGGGGTCAACATGAGCCACACTCCAAAATGTATTGAAATGACTCAAGATCTGTGGGTCCGTGGCTCTTAGATTTTGACCTAAAACGGATGGAGGTGTGGCACAATGAGAAGAACATTAGTCATGAAGGTGCATTTACAGGTGGATCGATGATGATAGGTGCACGGACCACGGACTGATGGATGGATTGATGGAGAAAACGGACAGGGTTTCACCTACAAGAATATAGTAGCCTCATTTCATCACAAGTGTATTTATTTCATGATCGACCACTTTGTTCTGACAAAGTATTCAGGCTCACCACCATACGCAGAGTTTCAAACTGGTTACATCCATATTATCCTGGAAATCATGCCCGCATACTTTATGTTGTAGGTTTGCGTGAAAATAGAGCCCCTAAATACCTCTAAGTCCATTGGGGAATGACACACCGAGCGAATCATCTCATGTTGATGATCTATCCCACTTATACCGTATACCCCATTGTATCCCCAGATTAGTTCGTTAGACCCCGATTACCTCCCCATATTCAATCCCCATATTCAATCCCCATATTCAATCCCCATTAAATGACCATTAAGCCATTATTCGGTCCTTGCAACTGCTCCATGCCAGGCGCTGCTGGAAGCTTCGGATATCCGGTGGGCTTCAGTAGCACGGAAGGGGACCGCGAACGAGAACGAGAAGCCATGATGAATCGCTTGGAGGATTTTCGAGGGATATAATATACACATGATATTTATATAGTTCTTGCGTGTATAGATTTTTGCCATATGTTTCCATCTGTCTATGTCCAAAACCAGTAGTACCACACAAGGCGGTGGCGGAAGTTTCAAAAATAGGAAACCTATAGGAGAGGTTGGTTGTTGTGTATCAGGGGTGGCAGAGCGAATCCACTGATGGACCGAAAGGTGCTTGAGGTCTCCTCTCTTTTGCTCTCTTTCTCTGACTATCTACCTACCTACCTACTTACCTACCTACCTACCTACCTATCTATCTATCTATCTATCGATCTATCTATCTCTCTCTCTCTCTCTTTTTCATCTAATTACCTATCTAATTACCTATCTAGTTACCTATCTACCTATCTATCTATCTCTCTCTCTCTCTATCTATCTATCTATCTCTCTCTCTCTCTATCTCTCTCTCTATCTATCTATCTATCTTTCTATCTATCTATCTATCTATCTGTCTATCTTTCTTTCTATCTATCTCTCTCTCTATCTATCTATCTATCTATCTCTCTCTCTATCTATCTATCTATCGATCCATCCATCCATTCATCCATCCATCCATCCATCCATCCGACTCCATCCATCTACCGTGTACTGATACGATCCTCATATTCCGAAATTGAAACTTCAACAGCTCCTACAGCGTTAACACAACAGACCAGAAACACATGACGAAATCTAGCACATCCCTCTGACGCGTCTCCCTCACGGAGTCGCCGCAGTGTGTTTTTTTCCAAGCAGCAACGGGCAAAATCTTCGGCCGGGCTTGCAATGAAGTACAAATGCTCCAGTGCATCATTGTCATTGTAGTTGTAGTTGTTGTAGTAGTTGTAGTTGTAGTAGTAGTTGTTGTAGTTGTTGTAGTTGTTGTTGTTGTTGTAGTTGTTGTTGTTGTTGTTGCTGCTGTTGTTGTTGTTGTTGCTGTTGTTGTTGTAGTAGTAGTAGTTGTTGTAGTTGCAGTTCTAGTTGTAGTTGTAGTTGTTGTGTAGTTGTAGCTGTAGCTGTAGCTGTAGTTGTAGTTGTAGTTGTAGTTGTTGTAGTTGTAGTTGCTGTGGTTGGTGGTGTTGTTGTTGTTGTTGTTGTTGTTGTTGCTGTTGCTGTTGTCGTCGAAGTTAGGGTAGTTAAGTTAGTGAAGTTAGTCAAGTTAGTTAAGTTAAGCAGTGTCTACTTTTTCGACATCTTAACGTCAAAAAAGGCTCAAAACCCTCAGTTTTTTACACTTTTGACTTCGAAATGTGCTTCGCGCCACAACGGCGTGCACTTTTTAGACATTTTTTCGACATCTGAACCTCCAAAAGTGGTCCGAGAATGGTGTGTTTTGTACATTTTGACTTGGAAATGTGCTTCGCGCCACAACGGCGTGCACTTTTTCGACATCGCAACTTCCAAAAGTGGTCCGAACTGCGAATTGCATATTCCCTATTTAGCATTCATGTCATGACTTTGCAATTGTCATTTCAATCAATGGGCATTTCACCATAGCCCTTTTTCCAAGCTCAAAGATCGGTCGGAAGACCGGTGAATCCAACGTGAAGGACTTTGGAAAGAGAGTTAAAAGCGCAGGACCACTTGTCTGACCGTGGAGGACTTTGTGTGTCTAACGCAAGGAGTTTGAGGTGTGGACTAGTACCTGGCTTTTCTGGCCGCAGACGTGTCAGGACTGTCAGTGCTAGTACCCCCGATAATATTACCCGGGTGAACCTGTCGCGAACAGGTTATGAGCCCAACGCATGGGGACTCTGCTGAAATGATGCTCAGAAGAAGAAGGTCTGAGCCTGATGATGAAGAGTCAAAGAAAGACCAAACAGCGTCAAGCACCCGGGCAAGCGCGAGGAACCAAGGGGCAGAGATGGCTCTAGTGGCAGTGGATAGGGAAAGGGTTGGAAAGCCTTCACCAAATGGTCCTGTTGGGGAAGATATGAAAACCCCCTTGCCAATAGAAGACTTTCCAGCAGAACCTGTAGGATCCCCTAAGGCCCTAGGACCTAGGAACCTCCAGCCACTGTTCAACGAAGCTCAGATAAAGAAAGCTGAGGAACTCAGGTTGAGTGCACCCCTTTTGCAGGGTCCAAGCCCCACCGCAGTAAGCCAGTCCACCGGCGGATGGGATGGGGGTTTGGCGGCAGGGAAGGTGGGAATGGGGAAGGAAGCTGACATGTCAGAGGGACCATCAAGGAAGGGTCCGGAAGTCTTGATGATGTCACCAATGGGATATCCCTTAGCACCTCAACATGGTTATGGATACGTGCCACACCACACACAACAAGGAATGTTTGATGAGATGATGTGGCAGTTTCGACAAGAAATGGGACAAATGTCAAAGTCTCTCACCCAGCTTCAAGAAGAAAATTTGAGGTTGAGGATTCAGCTTATGGAAGAACGAGAGACTAGATACACAACACCTCCCGATGTCACTCCTGCTGACGGTCTCCGTGACAGCGCGCGCCGTCAGAAGGTTTCAGGAAAGAAGCCCAAGCCCAAGTCCAAAGGTGTAGAAGCCAAGCAGGAAGACTTTGAAGCTTCGAAGCCAAAGGAGGATGCAAGTCGAGGAGAACAGGAGGCTGAGACCCCCAAAGCAGAGGAGGAAGTGATTGGAAGGAAGCTTGAAGAAGTTTCTCAGGAGGATGGTCCAGCTGGACAGCAAGAGTCCAGTGAGGAGAGTCAATCGATTCAAGAAGAGGAGTCGGAAGATTCAGTGAATGTGAAAGATCACAAAGGAAGATCAAAAAAGGAGGACACCACAGTGGACGTGATGCTCAAGTTGATGCAAGGGATGCAATCGCTGCAACAACAGCTCTTGGATCGAGAGACGATCAGGGGCCGACGGCTAACAGAGGACGATGAAGAGGAGCATGTGAGGAGCAGTGTAGAGCTGCACAAACTGCCGGAGTGGACAGCTGAGAATGCTCCGGTGGACTTACAGGACTGGTTGCTTCTCATCCATGCACAGATGTCGGATCTCACTACCAGCAGTTCAGAATGGTGGGATCTAGTGGTTGAGACTGCGAAGGACTGGTACCACAAACACCAAGCCATGAAGCCCATCGACAAGCTGAAGCATGAAGTCAGGGCACCACCGCAACTACAGCAGAAGAAATGGAGAAGGTTGGAGAAGAGAGGAAGCAGTTTGCTTCTTCAGGCCTTGCCCAGTAGTCAGCGTGATGACATTGTGGCAGGGAAAGACCTTTCAGTGTTGGCGATTTTGGCAAAACTCCTCAACAACTACCAGCCTGGTGGTTCCCATGAAAAAGCAGCAGTGCTGGCCGCTTTGGAGCTGCCGGCAGAAGCGGTGGGGATCGGCGAGGGCATCCTGGGACTACGTCGTTGGTTGAGATGGAAGAAAAGGGCAGAAGACATGGGCCTTCAGTTGCCCGATCCATCGGTCCTTTTGAGGGGCCTGGACCGGCTGGTCTCCAAGATTTTGGCTGGCAATCCAACCTTGCAGTTTCGCATTAACCTGACGAGGACAACACTGATGGTGGATTCTGTGCCCACTATGTCTTCCATTGACCAGTTGGCCGAATGCTTACTGGCTGAGATGGACCAGGTCTCCTATGCCAAAAAGAAGGAAAAGGCAGCCATCGCAGGAGTTCCTAAAGCTCGGAAGATGGAGGAGGCAGGAAAAAGAAGCGAAGTGCCTCAAGCCAAGAAGGGCGATGAGGGTAAGAAGGAGATGCCAAAGTGTAAGTACTTCCTGACGGAGAATGGATGCCGTCGAGGAAAAGCTTGCAGATGGGATCACAACCAGAAGGATGACCAGCGTCGCTGCTGGAATTGCGGGTCCACAAAGCACTTCTCCAACAAATGTCCAGTGAGTGAGGGCCAAGGAGAAGTCAAAGTGGCCAAAGCCGAAAAAGATGGCGAAGCCAGAAAGAAGAAGAATGATGAGGAGGACAATCAGTCCGACCGAGCAGTTGCTGGAGCGGACGATATGAAGAGTCTACTGGAAGAAGCTGGAAAGATGCTGAAGGTGATTCCAGGAGCTTCGCAGGAAAGCTCATCGGTTGAGGAGACCGGTGATGCCAAAATCAGGAGACTTCAAAGACAGCTGGATGAGCTTCGAGCTTCTTCGGTGAGAGTGCTGCGATTGGCCAGGGTCCAAGCAGCTGTGGAAGATTTGGGACTCCTTGACAGCGGAGCTACCCATCCTCTTCGACCTCCAAAGAAAGATGAGGATCTGTCCAAATGTCAAAAGGTGAGGATCAACCTGGCCGGAGGAAAACAAACAATGATGATGCTTTCAGAAGGTGGTGCCATCATAGGCTCTGAGGATGTGGAGCCCATCGTGCCACTGGGGGCGTTGGTGGAGAACTTGGGTTGCTCTTTGCAATGGACCGAAGGCCATATGGTCCTGTATCACCCCTTCAAGGGGCAGATCAGCACCCAGCTCAAAGAAGGTTGCCCGATGATCAACAAGTCTGATGCTTTGGAGTTGATCGAGGAGTTAGAAAAGAAGGCACCCGAGCTGAGGAGTGTAGAAGGATCCGCAGCTGAAGCCTATATGCACTGGATGAAGCGCTTGGTAGAAGAACACCCAGCACTTCAAGGAGTTCCAAAAAGAATCACAGAAAGGTTGGTGATCAGCCCTAAGGAAGGACATATCACCGGAAACCGAAGCCAAAGAAAGCTATGGAAGAAAGAAGGAGGTGTGACGTTGTACCTCTACTCAGGACCCAATGAAGGGTATACTATGGCCAAGGCCATTCAGCTCCTCGGAGGAGAGAAAAGAAAGGTCATAGCGGTGGACATCAAGAACGGAGCCAAATGGGATATGATGGAGGATGACCTCTATGCTGAGCTCATGGACATGGTCATCAAGGGCCAAGTGGAGTCCCTGGTGATGTCTCCAAATTGTCGCACTCGCTCAAAGCTCCGACACTGTGAAATTGAAGGAGTTGATCTCCCCGGACCGGTCCGAGAGTGGAACGGTGGAGAATGGGGAAAGAAGGGCATCGGAGAAAGAGAGGAGAAGA